AGTTACTGGCTTGAGCGCGCTCACAAAATAAGTGCCCGCGCTCCAGCAAGTTACTGTGGGCTTACGAGAGGCAGAGCTCGTCCCTGCCTCACTTCTCATCGCTACCCGTAGTTGTAGCGGAGCTCGGCAAATTTGCTGATTTTGACTTTAAAAAGCGATTGGAATCATACTTTAATCACACTTACATCATAGATCAGTGGAGACATTTTATTATTATTATTATTTTTCGTTTTTCTTTAGTTGTTTTTCCGTTACATTGGAGTATGACAGGTGAGGCTCTGCCTCCCCTGCCTCCCCTGCCTCCCCTGACTGCACGTCGCTGTCCTGCTGTGAGAATATGGCTTACTAGCTTCATCATGCAATACAAGGACAGAAGTGCTTCTCCTTTATTTCCATATGTTCTATATTTGACATTTCACCTGGTCTATGCAGCTCTAGCAATATCTCAGTATTAAATCACACATGCAGCCAAGACGTCTGTGTAAAAAAAAAAATATGTTAAAAACAGTTTTTCTATAACAATTATTTCTATTTTGTATTGTTTTGCTATATATTACCTTGAATCTTTAAGCCTCCGATCCCTTGAATGTATTGTGTTGTTGTTGTTGTGTGTTTTTCGTAGGTTATTTAATGATTTTTATTTGTATTAAACTCTTAACTTGGGGTTAAATGGAATTCATGGTTAAATAAAGGATACAGTACATAAACTAAACCATTTAAAAAAATGTTTTATACATTTGGGTTATCAAAATGTAAAGTGCTATTTTGTAAGGCCTGCTTTTATAGGCATGGGTATTTCTTATGTTGCTGGGGTGGGTTATCTACCATCAATAACAGTGAAGACTGTAACTAAAATGCACTTTTAGCTTTGTCTTTTTCCATTAATAAAAAACCTTAGGCATACTTCAGAAATGAAAACACAACATGTTCAATTTTACACCTGTTAGTCGTCAAATTTGATGCTACTGTTGGGATATATTGTATGGAAGAGCAATTCACATCCATTGAAATGTTAACTCTAGCTATCGTGACGAAAGAGACCAACAGGCTGTTATAGGAAGCAATATTTAGAGTTTCAATGAGGCTTACATCACAATCAGCTCTATGAATAAATGTTTAGTATCTGACAGGCGTTTGTGGGATAGGATTCAAGGGAGGTTTTCCCGTCTCAAAGGAAGAGTTGGTAAAAAATAAACCAAAATGTCAGTACCCCTGCTGTGTCATTGTCAGACATAGTGCTATCTCCCCCTGTACTGCACAGCCAGGGAAAGTTCTGTTGTTACTGGGTTTAAACTGGCCCTGTATTTTTTAAATAGCTGAATCTTTCCCTGCCTTTGAGGGAAAGTTGTTGGTAACAGACAGAGTTGAAAGAGTTCTGAAAAGGAGTGGACCCGGCTAATAATCCGTGGATATTGAATGAATGAGAGTCATTCCCCATGTGGATGTTCTAATTTGACAGTATAATACGGATTAGTGGCTCTCTGTAGTAATATGTAGAAGTGAGTGTAGGATGAGAGGTGCATGTTTTTGCATGTGGAGTCAGGCTTACAGATATACCTTTGCATCATGATTATTACCTTCCTGCCCGTCAAACAGGCTGTTTGCTTCGCCTGCTCTGATTCCCTCAGGGACAAGGGCTGGGGCACCCTGGCATTTACACTCTAATGAAAACAATCATTGGAAATATGTTAATCTGCCTGGCTGTGGTTGGCTGAAACAAACTGTGCTCTTTTATAAAGGCCAGATACTCCTGTGAGTAATCACCTATGGCAACTGAATCCATTTAACCATAATGTCTCAGTATTTGACCCATGCATGCCATGTACGTTAGTCACTCTGCAGAGATTTATATCAGGCTTTTTTGCCATTGGGGTACAAGCTGATATTATTCATTAATGTCTCAAAACATTTTACCTCAGTGACATTTATAGGTAACACCCAAAGGAGAAAGTGGATCAGATGTCACAAAGTTTGTGAGGACATCAATACATGTCAGTTTTCAACAGCACTAAATGCTGAAAACTATCAGTTATACAAGATTGAGGAATCCTGCTAAACGAGAACGAATGATGAAATGCGNTTTTCAGTTTGCGTCGGAAGATGTGTAAGCTATCTGCTGTCCTGATTTCAATGGGGAGCTCATTCCACCATTTTGGAGCCAGGATAGCAAACCCACGTGTTTTTGCTGACGGGAACTTGGGTCCCCCTCGCAGTGCGGGTGCAGCGAGCTGTTTGGCTGATGCAGAGCGGAGTGCACGTGCTGGGGTGTACGGTTTAACCATGTCCTGGATGTAGGAAGGGCCAGATCCATTCGCAGCATGGTACGCAAGTACATGTCAGTTTTCAACAGCACTAAATGCTGAAAACTATCAGTTATACAAGATTGAGGAATCCTGCTAAACGAGAACGAATGATGAAATGCGCTGAACTCTCCTAAAGAGAACAATGTACCCAGTACAGCTGCTGCAACTGGGCTGATAATGGCTGCCAGGGAAGGAATTACTCCGGCTGGTACAGACCTAATGTGACTAATCATCACAGAAGAATACAAGGTACACGCACTCTATGGCAGGAATGCATGCGACGCGAATGTCACGCACATCTAAATGAGAATTATAATATGTTCGTGCCTGTAGAAAATGCTGAAAACTAATCCCTCAAGGAAAAATAACAAGAAAGAAAATGAGGAAAACAGACACTACCAACTCTATTGTTGTCACGGTTAGTAAAAAGAATAACCCTTAAGTATTGACACAGCTAATGAAGCAAGCTAAAATTAAAGGTACACTGAAAAAACTGAAACCTTGACTGTAATTAAATGTATTATGTCAACAGATTTTGCACAACTGCATTAGGTTAGTTTAAAGCAATAATATTACGTTTATATAACAAATATTAGGTTCAACTTAATATTATTGCTAATTAAAGTAACCGTTTCAGTTTTTTCAGTGATAGGCATCGTAAATGATAGCTAATAAAACTGATTTAAAGACAACTTAGAAGGGCACTCGGCTCTTTCAAGGTTAATTAAAAATGAACAATAACTTATTCAGATCTACTCTATGGTTTATCCCTTAGCCAATGCATCACCCTTCCAACACATTGAGAAAAAAGCCGGACTTTCTGGAGTCGTGTTTTCATTGTATGTATCGTTGTCAGCTAATAAATAAGAAATAATGCTGTTTTTTTCATAATTTTCAAGATATTCCCCTTGATCAACTTTAAAGACACCATCAATCCCTTTTTGCAACCGCATACAGCATAGTTGACATTTGCCCCCACTGCTGTTAGTTAATCATCAATTTAAAAAGAAACATGTGAAAAAACGTTGCATTTCATGACATATGTCATTACAACTGTCACATTTGAGTTAGTTTTAGTTTACTACATCCAAATGTCAATCGTTTTTTATTAGATGAGTGTGCATTACAATTTGAGTTTTCCTGCTAGAACAAATCACTTTGACAAGGACAAATAGTTGGCGGTGTGTGGTTTGGTTTAGTTGGAGGGCATGAGGTATTTCTATCTCTGGACCTTTTTCTGGGTAGGCTGCATGGGGGTGTGTGACAAGTTTCCATGAGTAGAAGTGACAACCTTGTGGCTAAAAAATGTCTGACAGAGTGTTAGTGTGTGTGCATTAGACGGTCTCTATTTAGTCATGCTAAGGGGCAGGACAAACATACAAAAAACAGAAGCAACAGTTAGTGACAGAGATAAGGGAGGGCAAACATGGAGGGGTTAGTCATTATCGAGTGGAGATAACACACACACACACACACACACACACACACACACACACACACACACACACACACACACACACACACACACACACACACACACACACACACACACACACACAGAGAGAGAAGGGTGGCAGCAGGGATTGAATGTGGAAAATATGAATATGTCACCTTGATGCTTTGGAAGCATAATTATCAGTGTTCATGCATCACATAGCAAACTGAATATTAAAAAGACAGAGAATGAGAGATTAAGTGTGTGAGACAGATAGATGAAGAATGCATGAATGGGACAGAGTGATGGAAAGGCAGGGAGGTAGAATACAGGATCAAAGTATCTCACTTTTAACAAACCTACAAAGCAAACCAGATCTCTCTCTGTGTGTGTGTGTGTGTGTGTGTGTGTGTGTGTGTGTGTGTGTGTGTGTGTGTGTGTGTGTGTGTGTGTGTGTGTGTGTGTGTGTGTGTGTGTGTGTGTGTGCTTTTGTAAAGGTCCCATGTTGCCTTCCTCCTCACATGACCTCCTGCTACTTTATCAGTCTGTATTTTTTAGACTTTCTATTTGTTTTCCCAGACAAACACAAACACACACACTGGCCTCTCACATCAAACAGGGGTTAGCAGAGGAGAAAAATCAAAGAGCAGCGAGGAGGAGAAAAACCAAACACAGCACACTGTCCGAGACCCCGAGAAAACCTGGCTGCCTCAGTTTGTTAATAGAGTCCTGTGACTGGCGTTTGTTACATTATGTTATATTAGATGTAATTATTGCTGTCCTTTTATTTGTATTCTGTATGTTTATTTGGTCCATCTTAGATATACATGTAGTATACGTGTACATGTGTGTACAGTTTAATTGTAAAAATCTAGTGTATTCGCACTACTACTATGCTATATCGCTAAATATTGCAAATTAATGTTATAAAGTAACATGCCAAAATGCTCTTTTGAACAGAACTACTCTTCCATCTATACCTTGAACTTTCTGCTTAATTATCTATTAAGAATTATTTCAATACATAGGACTCGTTTCCCAAAGCTTGTTTCTTCTTACAATGATAAAAGCTTGAATGCATACATTTGATATACTACCACATTATGGTATGATTTTGTGTGATGTAAATTACGTGAATATTTTTGCCAAATAAAAACATGAAACAGCTGTCTCTTTGCATTAAAACTAACAAAACGTTATGCTTCAGAGGCATTAATACTCCCCTTAGAGATGCAGTAACCTTGAAGTTAATTATTCATTTTCAGACCAAACATACCAATGAAATGCGTGGTAAATGTCAAATTAAAATAAAGTCAGGTGAAGGACTTTCCACATACAGACAGTCAGTACAGAAACCACCTTCATCATAGTAATGAGAACAATCTGAATGTAGACTCAAGTTATTTTGCGAAAATAAGAAAGAAAGCGAGACAGACAGACGGACAGACAGACGGACAGACAGACGGACAGACAGACAGACGGACAGACAGACAGACAGACGCGCAGACAGACAGACAGTGACAGACAGACAGACAGACAGACAGTGACAGACAGACAGACAGACGCGCAGACAGACAGACAGTGACAGACAGACAGACAGACAGACAGTGACAGACAGACAGACAGTGACAGACAGACAGACAGACAGACAGACAGTGACAGAGCAGCAGGTGTGTGCGGACACAACATATGCTGTGTGACAGACAGAAAGTCTTAATGGGACGCTGCAGTCAGTCACTCCCTTCACACTCCTGCTGTGCATGCGCACACACACACACACACACACACACACACACACACACACACACACACACACACACACACACACGAACACAAACCTCCTGCTGAAAAGTCACAGAGGAGAGGAAAGAAAAGACAGGAGGACTGCCCTGGGTCTGTGTGTGTGTGTGGGAATGTGCCTTCAGTGGCTTCACAGCTCCCCTGTGTGGTCGGCAGTGGTGTCACACACACACACACACACACACACACACACACACACACACACACACACACACACACACACACACACACACACACACACACACACACACACACACACACACGTGTGTGAAACAGTGTTGGTATACAGTGCTGTTTCCCTGCCTGACTTAGATCAAATGTCGCAGTTTTTCAATAATTTAAACAGGAAAAAGGAGACCTACTTTTGTTTTGAAGAATTAATATTACANAGCAATGCCACAGGCTGATTGCCTCCATGCCACGCCGCATTGATGCAGTAATCCGTGCAAAAGGATTCCCAACCAAGTACTGAGTGCATTAATGGACATTTTCAAATGTTTGATTGTGTTTTGCTGTTATAAATCTTTTTTTTTTACTTGGTCTGAGGAACTATTCTAATTTTTTGAGATAGGATTTTTGAGTTTTCTTAAGCTGTATGCCATAATCAGCAATATTAAAATAATAAAAGGCTTGCAATATTTCAGTTGATTTGTAATGAATCCAGAATGTATGACATTTTTGTTTTTTTAATTGCATTACAGAAAATAAAGAACTTTATCACAATATTCTAATTTTCTGAGACAGTCCTGTACAGTGCTGTTTCCCTGCCTGACTTAGATCAAATGTCGCAGTTTTTCAATAATTTAAACAGGAAAAAGGAGACCTACTTTTGTTTTGAAGAATTAATATTACATTTTTCTTCTTGACTCTCTTTTTCTTGATAAATGTTGAGGAACTTTTATCCATTTCAATGATAGATACGCTCAGTCTGGGTTGGAATGTCTACACAAAGCTTGCTTCTCAACTTTTAACCATGATTTAACACATTGGGGATTCACGGGTTTCATGGATAATGTGCTGAGTCATTTAAATGTGATTATCACAGAGTATAGTGTTGTATAGGGACCAAGCCGCAGACTGAAGATTTATTCTAAGAAAGAACATTATTCCTATCCCATTACGGCTTCATTATTATCCATCATCTTCCACTATTGACTGATGGAGGTGTGCATGAGTGGAGCTCAGCTCTCAGCTCAAAATGAAAAAAAAGTGGCAACTTCTCACACAGAAAAGCATTCCCTTATTATTCATATCATGGTGTTTTCAGCAGGAGATGAAACTTCCTGTAATAACAGAAGATTCATTTTTCTTTTTGATCCTGCTCTGTTCTTGTTCCTGTCTCATTTTCTGAATTTCTTTGATCTCATATTGTTGAGGTCATGTCATGTCTGTTCAGTCTTATTTTTTCTTATCTTGTTATCCATGTACCCTTACGTCTTTGTGGAAACCAGTTTGTAAGAAATCCTCTGTTCAAAGGGAGCTTTGTAAATAAATGTGTTTTCAGTACGAAGAATTCATAGAGAAAATCTATGATGTGCTACCTGTTTACCGTTACGTATTCAGTAAGTCACCAACATTTGTTCCGGGACATTTACCAAAGTCAGTAAAATATATGTTCATCTCCTGAGCCTGACAGCCAGAGAAATGTGTCAGTGACAAAGCTTGAGAGTTGATGGTGAATTTCCGTTTCTATAACAATGGCCTTTACCGAGTGATTTTTGTAATTAAAATATGGTACAAATTGAAATAAATTATATTTATCCACCACTATGAGTGGGGACAGGTCCAGCGGTTAAAATATCAAAACACTTTGAGCAATGTACAATTTTATAACCAAGACATCTAAATAGTTTAAGGTGTTTTTTTACTGATCAACCTATTTTTAACATGTATTTTAAAAACAAAGCTACGAACCCATACACAATAATGTTACTTCAGGTTGATGTGACCTTGAATTGTGTGTGTTTTGGCAAGGTTGACTGATTTATTAAGGGTCATTAACTTAAAGTGGAGGGGGTATAATAAAGGTTACAGCTGACTGCGTGTACACACACACGCACACAAACACACACTCTGTACTATATTAATATGTGTGTGGCTTGCCCAGCTGTCTCACACATGACAGCAACCATTTTAAATGTTAATGACTGTGAACCCACAACCTTATGGAAATGAGAAAGATGATTAACACACACACACACACACACACACACACACACACACACACACACACACACACACACACACACACACACACACACACACACACACACACACACACACACACACGTACCTCCAAGGTCACAGATGATCTTGAAAGGCGAAAGGTCGAAGGCGGTTACCACATCTTTACCACAGATGTTCCAAATGGAGTTCATTAACTGCATAAACTTCACCATCTCCTCATCAGACCTACACACAAACACACACACACAAAAACATTCCTCTCAGAACATGTTTTCTTTCATTTCAATCTCTGTGTATTAAGGCAACATTTATTTTCTGTAAGCTGTCACCTAAGTTTACTTACTCTTTGTCTACAATAAAGAGTCAAACACACACGTACACACACACACAGAGAGCCTCTCATCATCTACAAAGTTTCTCCCAGTAGCGACACAGTGTGTGTGTGTGTGTGTGTGTGTGTGTGTGTGTGTGTGTGTGTGTGTGTGTGCGTGCATGTGTGTGTGTGTGTGTGTGTGTGTGTGTGTGTGTGTGTGTGTGTGTGTGTGTGTGTGTGTGTGTGTGTGTGTGTGTGTGTTTATAGCCCCATGGCAGGACAGAGTGCTGGGTGATGAGGTGGAGACTCCTCAGAGCAGCAGCAGTCACCACAGGCTCTTTTATTCTGCTACACCCTGTCTCTTGCTCACTCACACACATACTATACGATACACACACATACATTTACACACACTCTGAGTATCATCTGTTCTGCAACACTAAACTTGTATTCATCTAAACTTCACTGCAGCAAAATGATCAGCCATCCACTGGACCAGACTCCAGCTGACCTCCAGGGGAACTTTGAAAGTGACTCATTGTTGCGGCTTCAGACTGATTACATCGGATGTGAAAAGATAAAAATGACTGTAAGGCCAAACAGCAGACTGTCAGCTTTAATTTGAGAGCATCTTGGATGTAAGTTATCGAATGCCCCCAACGATAACATCTGCAGCCCTTTTTGTCCTCGACTGAGCACATTTACATTCACACTCGGTTATCTCTGTCCTTAGATTTACATTGTTGTAACATCATGGTGGTTTGTGATCAGTCTGCCTGTGTTCTTCTCAACATCCTCACAGGTCTCTGTCATATCTCTGTCACTGACTGGGTTACGGATCATGGCTGCCTGATCTCTGTTGTGTGTTTTATAGCTGTCTTAATGCTTTAGCCTCTACATTTACTGTACAAATAATAAAAGAAAGGACAGAAAAATATAATTTAAAGTAGTGTACACTTTGACTATGCTTTGACCTCAACCAAAAATGGAGATTGTAATTAATGTTTTGTTTTAATTTCTGTGCGTCCAATGTGTTGTTGAATGATAGTTGAATCTCATTGGGCTGATCCAACATCAATATCTTGGAGAAATAATGTGGTATAATAATTATAATTGTTAGACCAATGTGACATTGATTTTATATTATTTGTAGGCTATTACATTTTATGAAATATATTCTTTGTATTTGAAATATATTGCCTGTTTTATTTAGTGCATTAAGCACTTTGAGCTTCATTTAGCACATGAAAGGTTGTGTACAGTTAAAGTCATTGTTATTATCATTGATTGTAATGATGATAATATGATAATGAATACATCAATATGTCCATTTCACAGCATCAGGCTAGTTGATTAAATGAATGAAAATATTAACTATGTAACATTCATCATTTAATGGGTTACATGTGTTAAACTATGTGTTTACTTCTTTATTTTATGCTCTAGTTTGACTTATTTTAATGGACTTTAAGATGAACAATGTAATGACCATATCAAGTGAAGCATATCAACCACTTATCAAACCCCTCAAACTATTTGAAATAAAGAAATATAGCCTATATATAAAATGACATGTAAATCAATGTCACACATCAACCTGCTTTGAACAAAACGATGAGAAGTTTTCATCCGTAGAACGTATTCAGATACAATGTCTTGTATATTTTTGAAATCTCAAAAGCTCTGCTGCCAGTCTTTACTTCAATCTTCTCTGCTTTCTCGAGTATGAGAGTTGAAGCTGCAGACGGGACCGGGCTGTGAATTATTCAGGTGCAGTACACGGCTGGCTAAATGTCGATGAGTAAACAGGAGTCTGAGTCATAAGCCAGCTTCGGATCCTCCTGCTCTGCTCCGGCTCTCCAAGAACGCAGTGAATGACTTCAGCGGTTGTTTCCCTCTTGCTAATTTACCCACAGTATTCACAGGGGAAATCAGCGGGGACAAACAACTGCTACTCCAAATTAAATCAATTGTGCGCAGGTGTTAGAGTTTTTCTCCGGGGGTATTTTCTTTTTCAATCAATTAAAGTTGAATTGCACATTCATCTACACGAGGGTGTATTACATTATGTGTGCACGGTTCATATTTGGAATATTCTCATTTTGCATCCATCTTTGTTAAAGAGGCTGTTTTTGAGAGATCATCAGCTGCTTTTCAAAAGAAAATGAGAACCAAAATGAATCAATTACAGAGATAGTTCAGCTTATGTAGAACCCTCAACAAGCAGCTACATACAAATATAACTTGCATGACATGTACAAAATCTAAAAAAATCAAAAGAAAGATGATATTGGTGTGCGAAGCTAATTCGTACATCTGCACATTGGTGTTGGTACATTTCATTGCTTCATGAGTAAAGTAATAATGGAAAATTGCGTTTTAACATCTGTTTCATCCTCCATTTGTGTGCATCAGATCAGCTTCCATCAAAGTGAAATGGCTGTGCAAATCATACTGAGGGAGGATAGCACTGCGTTTGAGTTTTGACGGCCTCTGATCCCCTGGGAGCAGCAGTGTTCTACAGTACGGTGCCTCGGGCGGGCCCATCGAAAGCTATTAGCAAACAAAGTGTGAAACTTTGAGCGTGTGACCCCTGAAAACTGCTGACCGGCAGATCAGTGAAGCGTTAAAACTGTGGGCACTAGTTACCATAAACACGAGACCTCAAGGACAATGGCAGAGATATTCTATATATCTGCTGCAAACGCCCTCACATCACCGCCCAAACCCTCTGCTGTCTCCCCCTCACACACCCACTGCCTCCTAATGAAGCCCACCAGTGGGTTTTTTTAGAGGGAAGAGGATGACAGACAGGCTTACGATGGAGAGAAAGGAGTGGAATTTAAATAAGCAAAAATGTGTGTGTGTGTGTGTGTGTGTGTGTGTGTGTGTGTGTGTGGGTGTGTGTTTGTTTTGTACCTGTAGAGAGCTTGAAACAGGTCATTGGAGCTGACTCCAAAAGCCTTTTCATACTGGTTTCTACCCTCCCTGGAAAAAAGACAAACATATTCATATGACAACATGATACGTGTTATATACAGTATGTTATATATTTTTCACATATATGTTTATAATTCGAGTGTACAAATTGTGGGATAGGTATTTCTAAATTCTGCTTCAGCTTTATCTCATCTCCACAGTTCAGGTAGATGCTATGTTTACATCAATTTGCGGTCTATTTTTAGGTACATTCACATGATTCAGTGGTACATTCCCGCACAGAAGAGGGCGTCTTCTTCCTTAAGTAGCATATTAACTGGTAATTGTTTTCAGTTTTGCTCACAAAGGGCCGCTGTCTGTCCACCCTCAGACAATGAGAATAAAATCCATTTAAGCCACTGTTCAAACAGAGAAGGAGGACTACATCCTAAAACATGCAGTTCTCCCAGCCCTACCTGTGCGTGATTTTAATCGTAGCTTACTGATTTAATTGAACAACAAAATTCCAGGGAATTGTTAACAATAACAATGTCTTTGTATTTTATAAGCAGTTATAAAGCCCATTGATATGATTCTTGTTTTTTTTCTGCTCGACTCCCCTTGCAGCATTGTGTGTTCTCAAGTTACATTTTGTTACCTATATTGGTCCTCTACAGATTTTCTTATACAAATACATGTTTAATTCGACAGGTCCTTTTGAAGATATCTGAAAGGCAAAGCACCTCGAGAGGGAGCAAAGACAATCCCCCACACGAGGGACAAGAAATGTAAATTGATTGATTGTTTAATATTCTCAAATGTTTGCATTTCCTATTTTGTAACATTGCAATTTACACTGAACATTTTTGGTTGTTCATGACATTGTTTTAGGGGAAATTGCGATCCGACATTTTAAAGCTTAAAATGAAAAACTTGTAATTTAAAAAAAAAACATGTGTGACCTGACAGCGTCGGTCAGGTATTGCCAGCAGAGGTAGATGGTTCTGGAGCTGTACTGGATGGACTGGTAGAGAGACACAGGACTGGAGCGGGTCAGGTACACACTGGCCTGCTCTGTGTTACTGTAGCACACTGAAACAGGTGGGAGAAGAGAGAGAGGAGGAGGGGGCTGAATCAGTGCAGATGTTTTGATCTTTTATGTCCACATTGGAGACAAGGACAATTATAGGGAGGTGGGCACGTTGGTGGGGGAGCAATTGACAATGTATAACACGTATGATAAAATAAATAATGAAGCCTTGAAAAGCAAGAGAGAGAAATAAAAAATTCTGGTGATTGACTGTTTTAAGTCAAATCCACTATGTACCTCCATTCATCTGTGAAACAAGTGTGAGGAAACAGTTTTACCAGGGTTATTTTTCAAATCGTCTTTTTATAATCATTGTATTTACTCAAAGTTTGACCACTTGACTTATTTAGAGCAGGGGTTCCCAAACTTTGCCATGCCAAGGACCCCCATATAGCATTATCCTCCGGCGGGGAACCCCTGTTGCAATTTAAAAAAAATTATGTGTACAAGTGCCTGGCGATGGAGCATGCAGTGTGTTGCGACTACATTTGGGGCCTTCTGCCTGATCAAAGCTGTCACTCCGCTTTTTTTGCCTGTCATAGCCCCACTGCCCCATCTGAACACACACCCACACAACGAGACCAGTCAAGTCCATTTGAGATGATGTACTCATCTAAAACTTGGAAAATGTCTCTTCATGTGGTCTTACCTTCCAGTGCTTTGTAAAATAATATGTCCTCAACAAAGTTGTCTTCAGAAATAAATCTGATGTATGCAAGCAATTCTGCGACATTTGCTATATCCATGCTCTCATCCGGCTGCAGAGAGAAACATTCTGTCAGAAAATGTTAGAGGTTGTTAGACTATTGAAGAATGGGAGTGCTGACCTTGTCCATTGTCCCGGTGTGTGTTGAGGAGCTGCAGGCCGGCGCAGGCAGCCAGCAGCCTCTCTGTGCCGTCCAGACTGGCTCCTATGGCCTGACTGATCTCCTCTGCAGACAGGGGGCGCTCTGCAGCCAGCAGCACATCAAACACCCCCAGCTCACAGGAGGAGAACACTGTCTGAGTCAGAGAGAGACACAGCTAAAGGGGAGTTCATTCATAGTAGAGTGATTCTACAATTTAAAATGTCCATGTCCATTGATGTCCATTAATGATAATTATAATTATTCTAACTATTTTCTTCAAAAATATCATATTTAACCTATTATTGGAAAGCATGTTATAATATCACACACACAGAGTGCATCCTACGCTTTATTTAGTTTGAAATGTTTCATGATGTTCTTAAATTGTCAGTTTTTGCTATGTCCATTTTTCAGTTGAGGGTGTCTTGGTTTCAAAATAATGAATAAAAAACATTAAAGTAAATACAAAAAATTATTCATTTATTTCAAAAGTTTAAATACTAAAGAATAATAATATATTTTTAATTGATTTCCTCCTTTAAATAATTCAAATATCTTAATATATGAATGTCCGAAAAAGTTCTGTCAACAATGTTACTAACACTACTCTCCCATTTATCTCAAAAATGGTTTGTCCCAATACCATGTCACCAGCATCACATGATGCCATGTTCCTCTTTGGCAGACATTTTGAACACACTGTGGTGATTGTCCTCTAATTCTTTACAATATTTGATGTATAATAGCACATTGTCAATGAGTATATTACTTGACCATCATCAATGTTACGTACATTGTTATGGTTTACAATGGTTTAATGATTTTAATTCAATTATATGTTCAAATGTGATGTTAACCTGTTCAAGAAAATGACATGTGGTCATCCAGGCAAGGCCTACCAAATGATGGGTCAAAATCATAGACTGGTCAAAATAAGGAAATTGTCAACTAGGTTACATGCCAACTAAGTTACCCAGTACTGTAATAACCAGTGGTGTAGTGGGGATTTTTTTTACTGGAGGGACGTTATTTTAATTAGGTCCAAACAATGCCACACAAGTGCGCACGCGCGCGCAGTGCACTCACAAAACGGGCAGACAGGTCCACAGAAACTACCGGTATGCTTATGTAACCCCCGGTGTAGTGTCCCCTCGGCTACAGATCACTCAGAGCTGGTGAATACTTTGGTTTATTTCACTGCGTTTTCTCAAAAGATCCTCGCGGAGTATGAGAATCTCCCACAATCCATTGCGGTAACAAAGCTACAGAGGCACGCGTTTGTAACACCAGATGGCGTAATTCTCCAATTTAACCCGGATTTTACACCAACCTTTATAACTCTGTTACATACACCCCCCTAAAATTCTGCTAAATTGGGGCAAAACACAAAAAACAACAAAACACACAGGAGATACAAAATACAAGCTGTGTAGAAATTGAGCATAACCTCGTTTAAGTCAGTTTGAAACTGTCCACTTGGAACAAGTCAGCAAGAGATTGGCCAAACCCCTTCATAACATAGACACAAAAGATGCCGTGTACACCTCTTATAAAATAAACATTACTCTTCTACATCTTGAAATTACTGAGGGACACTGTAAGACAGTGCAAATACTGGTTGAAAAAAAAACTAAAACATATATATCCATAATCACTATCAGGAGTCTAACCAAAGAATATGTCTCTCATAATAGAAAACACAGAACCACTTGTTGACACTGAGTCATCAACAATCTGCTCATTAATTTCACAAATGAGTCGAGCTGGAGGTTTTATAGGTCTACCTGCCCTAGTGCAAAGTGGAAGAGGCTGTTCACTAACTACATGGCCCTGTGTGAGTGCACCTAGTTGTGTATCTGTTGCCATGTCAGGGGAGGGCACACAATGAGCTCTTTCTGCTGAGGACTGTAAAGATGCATCTTGGGGCACCTCACATTCAACAGTGGAGGGCAACTGTGCAACACGTGCAACACGAAAGAGCCTGAGGGATTCAAAACCTCACACACAACATGTGAGATCAAAGACTCTTCTGCTTCTGAAGGTGCTGTGCTCACATCCACAACTGAAGAACAATCAGGCTGACTGGCTGTCTCATCCCCATCATTTGCATCCTCCATCTGCAGGAGCCAGTTAACTGTCTTCGTCTCACTGTTCTGTACAGCAAGAGAAACCACTGGGTCACTTTGTCCACTTCCAGCGACAGAAGAGCAGCTTGACTCAAGATCTTCATCACCTCCCACGGGGAGAAAACTCACAGGAAGCAGT